GCGACGCTGTACACTAACCGGTAGGGTTAGATTCGCAATTTTGTTTGACTGAGGGCTAACCGCGAGACCTACCTGTAAGGAAAATTCGTGAGGGACATATCTGCAAATATGGGAAATATAGGCCCAGCAACACTTCGAATTTCCTACTACTACGGTAACTGCGAATAGCAGGCCCGAGCTACCCCTAGGACAGACAGGCCCTAAGGGCCTATGCTGATAGACGGTCCTATAGCCTATAGTCGGGTCAGGTAGAGGCCGAGAGGCCGAAACAGAAACGGTACCGGTCGGTCAGTCAGTCCGGTCTAGGTGGAGTCTAGGGTAGCTGTAGTCTATAGGTAGGATAGACACATCGGTCCACGACTTTTGGCAGTTCATTCTCACGAAGCAGCGTTGGGAGAAGCCAAGCAAGTTGGTGGCGGTGACTGTCGACAGGCGGCATCCTGGGACCTCGCCATTGACAGCAGCCATAGCCGGCACAGTCTGAGTCTGCCATAGCTGGGGCATCCTCAGCTCATCTACCCCAGGGAGTATCTGCGCATGGACGGGCTATATCGAGGCTCTACACTGTGCTATCGTGGGTGGTGGCAGCCATAGCTGCCTGGTTCTTCGTCAGAGTTGTCCTTCGATACTGAAGACTTCGTTGCCAGATCTGTTCTTCATCTGGGTGGTTGGCGCTGGCCTCTGGGAGGCGGTTCTGATGCGGCGCTACTAACTGGGTATAGGATAGTGAGTGGAGTGTGAGGTTCTGAGTGTGGCGAGATACTGGAACAAACTGTGTAACGATATTTTGGTTGAGTGGCTCATCATCAGTGTGAATATCAATTGTTATCCTCGCAGGTTCCTCTTGTGATTGGTTGTTGGGAGTTTGTCAGAGAGTGAGAAACACTGGGTGTCTTCTCCCCATCTGTGCATAGCTGTATTCCGCTGCCTATTCTGATCTGTGTGCAGTGTGGACTCTGTCTCCTCTCCCCCTTCTCTTATGCATGTATGGGCGTGTATGAGATTGTCTGTGTGTGAGTGGCAGTAACAATCGTCAGACAACCAAGATCATAACAGCACATAGGTTGGCAACCGTGACGTCGACGACTCTGTCTATCGACTTTGTGCACACGAAGGTCAAGAGCAGAAGTGGGAAGAGTCAAGTGATGGTAGTAGTAGATAGGTTTAGTAAATTTGTTGTTTTTAGTCCGCTGCCTGCTGAGGCGAAGACATAATTAGTGATTAGAGAGTTCTTTAATCACTGGGCGAAAGACTATGGGCACCCGTTGTCGATAGTGAGTGATAGAGATAGTAGTTTCAGGGGCGAGCACTGGCAACAATTGATGAAAGTATATGGGTCTTTCGGTAGACGCCCGAAGACCAATGGCCAGACAGAGCAGATGGACAAATTGCTCCAGCAAGTGCTACGCACGTACATTAGGCCCGACTAGATCGATTGGGACAAACTTCTTCCCAAAGTGCAGTGTGCGTATAACAACTCGGTGCACTTGTCTATTGCATGCACCCCCAATGAACTGCACATAGGTTGGCAACCGCGGCGTCGGATGGACTTTCTGAACCCGGATCAGATTCACAGGTCGCCGCTCGGTACCAGGGGATTCGCTACCCAACACGAGGAGGACTTAGAACAGGTGAAGAAGAACATCCCTAAAGCCCAACATCAAATGGTGGTGCAAGCAAACAAACACCGACGTCCGGCGAAGTTTGCAGTAGGAGATTTGGTATGGGTAAAATCTGAGGAGTCCGTTCTGGAGGAAGGGATCTCGCAGAAACTGCTTCCTGCATATAGCGGACCGTGGCAAGTCTTAGATGTCAAAGGGGAGGCAGATGGACCGTCCTACACTGTCGAGATTCCACCCCACCTGCATATGTATCCAGTATTCCACACATCTAAGTTGCGTCCCTGTATTACAAACGATCAGTTTCCTTCCCGACGTTCCATGATTCCACCTAATATGGATGGAGGTATGACGTATGACGTAGACCGGATAGTGGCTGAAGATGCTTTCCGAACAGGTCGCCGAAGGAGGCCGCAAAGGCAATGCAAGGTCAGGTTTGCGTATCAGGAACCCAGTGAAGACCGCTGGTTCTCTAGGGAGGAACTGGTACAGACAGCCCCTCACATTGTCTCCTATTATGAGAGGGCTAGACGGGGAGTAACTGTGTGCGATCGATAAAGCTGAGATTTTTTCTCGGAGGACCTCAAAATTAAGCCAGCGGGAGTGAAAGGATTCACGCTGCAGACACGCAGTCCCGGTCCTAGGGTTCCGACAAGTCCGAAGTCCCAGGGCCGTCCTGTAGGGTAGGCTGTAGGGTCTAGAGGCCAAAGTGTCGTAGGCCGGCAAGTGTCTGTACCGAAGCGTCGTAGGTCGGTAGGAGTCTGTCTGGTACCCGACAAGAAAAGTCCGGGAGCGTCCAGTCCAGTCCGACAGTCCCAAGTCCAATTTGCAGCGTGGAAGTCCAATTTTGCAGCATGTCCCACGGAGTCCGGAAGCCACCGGACCGACAAAATGTTTGCAGCTGACAGGCCTCAGACGACCTTTACCGGTCTGAAGCAGGCCAAGCCAAGCCAAGTCCTATATTTAGCTGCTACAGTGCAGCGGCTCATCACTTGTTCAGTTGCGAGTTGTGGAAGCGCTGCTGCTGCTTGTGCGTTAAGGCAACTTGGGCACTGTGGGCCTGAAGAAGAAGAAGGCGCTTGAGAGATACTCCATAGCTAGGCTAGCGGTAGAGCAGTATGACGGTGGCCATAGTTGCCAAGGTGTAAGCTACCTGAGTGGGTGTATCCAGGGTGACGGTTTGGGTTAGTGAGAGAGAGAGAGATAAAGATTGAGGCAGAGCGAGCCAAGTCAGAGAGAGAAACAAGACAAGAGAGAGCGGGAGAGAAAGGGGGAGAAGCCATAGCCGCCACCTGATTGGGATCTGTGTGTGTGTGTGTGTGTGCGTGTGTGTGTGTGCGGCAGAGCCGCTGGAGACAAACAACTTGTATATTGATAACATGGCTACCATGGACCCGAACACCGGGCCGATCCGGACCCAGACAACCGGTCGGTCCGGATATGATCCGCACATCCAAATTTTCGGACCAGTCCAGACTGTCCGGGCTTGGTCCGGATTGGTCCGGATTGGGAAAAGAAGAAAAAAACTGGCAGGTCTCTTATGCATGTTGAAGGCAGTTTCATCGTATGACCTTGACTTAAGGGGAAGTGTTCCAGGAAGACAGCTGTTGGCATATATGAAGAACATGAATGACCATTCCTTGATATGCACTGTGCTGGCACAGAAAGCACAAACTGCTGCAGGGGAAGAAAAGTGAAGAAACTAAAAAAAAAAAAGAGCACTCCGCAGTAAACTTGAATAAAGGTAAATATTAAACGAAGTTCAAGACTTTAGCAGTTCAGAATTTGAAGTTCAAAGTTCGAAGTCCGAGTTGAAACTCTCTCTCTCTCTCTCTCTCTCTCTCTCTCTCTCTCTCTGTGTGTGTGTGTGTGTGTGTGTGTGTGTGTGTGTGTGTGTGTGGTGGCGGTGGGTGGGCGGGAAAGCACTCAGAATCTTCCCTTCGTCACTGGGGGACTGCGCTCGTCCTCCAACGGTCTGCCCAGGATGCAAGTAGAAAAGGGGCAGGTCTGGCTGCCCTGAGCGGCCGATACGGGCCCCAAAAATCATCAAGACATTTTTCGGGGGGCGTCCTGGACCTAAGGAACAGGTTTAAGGTGCCCTTCTGTTTTTTGGACTTTCGGGGTTTTGGCCCCTTCCGGACAGGCCCTCCCATGGGCCGTCGTCCAGACACTGGACACCGACAGGATGCCTGTCCGGATGTCCGGATGGTAGCCATGATTGATAGTAATATTGGAGACGGCATCTTTAAGTGTTGGTTGTATCTTGATTTGGCTTCTCACATGTAAGCTCCCATGTGAATGTTCATTGATGTATGCGAGGTTGAGTGTGACAAGTACTTGGCTCATTTCATGAGAACCGGGCCTGTTCCCTTGTTTCTTTCTTTCCCTTTAGATTCTTCCCCAGTTCTTTTGTTATAACTTGCACTAACATTCCAGGCAAAACCAGAGATTGTCGAGTACCTGGCATGCGACTGGCTGAATGGCGCAGTCTCCTTTGGGGCATGATCTTGTTAGGGATTACACCCCTCCCGCCAGGCAATTGAACTCGTCTTGAAGACGATCATGTTTGGGGATACACTCTCCCCTTATCTTTTTTTTTTTCTTGCTCCTGAAGCTTTTTGTCACTGACGTAACAAGTGACTTTTCTATCAACAGCTTACCACTTACCCTACTTGGTTGGGTCGTGAGGTACCGCCTCCTTAAACCACCAGTGCGTTTCCCGGCTATTTTGTTCCAACGGGGCCGTTTCAGCCCACATTTTTCAGGGCTCAACCTGCTGAAACGAAAAGGCCGGTGGCGCCAGCCAAAAAGGACTGATTTTGTGCCCGCTCTGGTGCATATCAGAAACCCAGGTTGGGAGAGGCTTGGAGGTAGTGGTGGTTTAAGCACTGGATATTTCTTGTAGCAGGCAGCTGTTATCACACCACGTCTTTTGGGGTACAGCCTACCGAAATGATAAGGCTGGAGGTGCCAGCGAAAATAAGTTGATTTCGTGCCCACGCGACTTTCCCAAATCAACGCACAGCAGAAATCTGGGTCGGGGAAAGAGGCTTGGTGGTACAGGTGGTTTAAGCTCTGAGCATTTGTCGTAGCAGGCAGGATTTTTTAATTCATGACATTTCGTATCCTGTTAATTTTAATATATAACTGTTTAGTACTGTGTATGTTTCCATAAGAAAGCTACGGGATGGACTGACGTGTTTCTACTATGGGTGGAAAGTTGGAAACACTAGAAACACATTTCTGGTGTCTGTGGTCAGCTGACATTCGAATTGATGATTCTTGGATGCTCATTTTGATTGCCTCCATTTCAGTTCCAATTTCAATAACGGCAGAAGTGTGATGGTGCTGTGTTGTTTTTCTTGTTTTGCGTTTGTGCAGGGAATGGGGATTGTTGTGCTCGACGCAGGGGCTTATTGTATGTCTATGGCTTCAGCATACAACCTGAGAATGCGCCCACCAGAGTATTGGGTGAGTGAAGAGGGATTTGCTTTGAATGTCAAAGAAGTTATTTATCCTGCTTTTATTTATTTGCAATACCCCGCTCAAAATGCCCTGAGGTGGCCTCAGGGCCACACACACGCCGCAACCCTGCTCTGAGGCTGCAGAGGCCAAGGGGGAGGAAAACCCCAAGTAGGCTCAGGGTCTGTGCGCCCGAAAGTTGACCACGTTCAACTGCCCAGCATCTCAAGAGTCAAAGTCTGCGTGCACCCAGCCCCGGCCATCGGTCGGACACACACACTTGTTTGTATGCAGGTACCAAGACAGCATCAAGACAAAGTGGAAGTCTGCAACTGTATGCAGGCCCTCGACTGTGAGTCAATCTGAGCCACCAGGGGTGGGAGACCTGAGGCCAGTCAGCCTCGTCAAACATTACATAAGGCCTGGCCTCCAGGGAGTCAACATTCAGTCTTGCTATGCTGCCTTGACGCTGGCTTGACGCTGGCTAGACACTGGCTTGACGCTGGTTGTACGCTGCCACTGTGGACGACGACGCGAGACTGCTGCCGCACGCTGTCGCCTTCTGCTTTGGTGTCAGCCTATGCTGACGTGGCGCAGGGCCACGCTGTCTTCAACATTGCTGATGTGGCGCATGCCAGTCTTCATTACCGACGTGTCATTTGCCATATTGTTTACGTTGCGGAGTTGGATGCAACAAGGAGGGAGATCGGGATCCGTGGATGATTGAGAGGGATCGGGATACTTACCTGGGGTTGATGTCGGGTATTGTCTGACGTGGCACGTACCTGTGTCGTGACTTACCTGCGGACATGGAGATCGACACTGCAGCGGTACTACGTTAACCTGACATGGCATACCAGTGGTGGATGAGTTGGCAGTTCGTGCATTGCTGATGTGGCATCCCTCCGGAAGGCCCCACTGGCCATCGATGCTGACGTGGCAGACTCCGTCGAGCTGCTGTGTTGGCATTCCAGGGGTGACATGTGGCAGACTTTGTGTGCTGCTGTGGGTGAGGTGTTGATACTTGCACTTGTATGCTGGCAGGCAGTACAGCTTCACGATTGTTATAGTGCCACGTGCCGGCCTTTGTCTGGCTGCATTGGTTCTGCAGATGGTACAGCCGTAGAGGAAAGAATGCTGACAATTGATTGTTGTTGATTGTGTTGGGTGACTTACTCACTTGTCAGGCTGTTCTGTGGTTGCCGTGCATACTCACCTGTGTTGTTGTGTCTTGATCACACTGACTGTGGCTGCGGTACCTGTGCACTCTCGTTAGGACGTCATCACACATAGGACATACAGCAGAAGTTAGAAATAGACAATAATTGAAATCTGTTTCTTCTTTATTTTTTGTTGTTATTTCTTGCTGTAGGAGATTTAAATTGAGTGTGGCCGTGGAATTTATTTTTGTCTTTTTATTTTTGTCTTCTAATTATTTATTGTGCGGCAGATGCACATTCTGAAAATGTTTTTCTTCTGGAATTCTTTGTGCCTCTCTGTCTTCACTCGCTTCATCCCTCTCTTCTTCCTCCCTGTCTCCTTCACTTTCTTCGCTGATGAAGAAAGTGCTGAATTGACACCCTGTGGCCAAATTGCAAATAGACGGCAGGAGACGCTGGGCCGTCTCCAGATGATGTTGGAGCCGATGCTGAACAGCAAGTGCGCAGCCAGCTCGATTTGCGAGCAGCAGAAACCAAACTAGAGCAGGCTGACACGGCTGTTCAGATGATGGAAGCCAGTGCTCATGTACAGCAGGTCATCATTCAGAGCTGACAGGCTCTGGATAAGATTGTGATTGATAAACTATCGAAGGTAGCCAAAAGTGGGGAAAAAGGAAAAGAACAGGCAGAACGAAGCGAATAAAAGAAAGAACCACAATTGTCTGAAGAGATCATTTTGGAAAACATCAGGCAATTGAAGAAAACATTGAATGCGGAAAGAAGAAAATGGAAGAGTGCCAGGGAAGAAAAAGGGAAAAAGAACAGCAAGAAAGAAAAATGGAGGAAATCAAGCAGAAGTTTCATATTGAAGGAACACAATCCAACCTTGCATCCGTATTGCACACAGTGATGGCGTACCTCGCCCACCTTGAGATGAAGATTGACAGTAACACCGCCACAATTGCGACAATGACTAGACTCGTTAAAGGGAAAGACAAGGTGGCGATTGAGGAAGAAGCCAAGGGAGGGGAAGGAAAGAAAGAACCTCAAGAGAAACCAATGAAGGATGCAATGAAAAAGGTGACGTCCGAGACGCCCGAAAGCTCGAAGAAACCGGCAGAGAAGGAAGAACCTGCCAAGTCGAAAGAACCGGCCAAAGAAGTTGCCATAAAGAAAAGAAAAAGTGAAAATGGAACTTCCCTTTACCTACAATGGAAAGAGGGGCGGGCGTCTGTTGTTCTGGATCGCTGATATCCAGACTTATTGCGGGCCTGCACCGGTAGAGCCCAAAAGCCAAGTGGCTTTCACAACTTCATGTCTAGGGGAAACAGCCAAGGATTGGGTATTTTCTGAGGCCAACGCTGCTGGGTTCGAAGGCATAGGTGAGTGGGCCAAAACATTGACTTTATGGGAATTCCTCCAGAAGATTAAGGAGAGATTCCTGGACAAGACGACCGACAAGGCCTTTGACGAGCTCAGCACTATAGGACGAAAGCGTTGGACCACTGTGGATGCATTGTCGCGTGAGGTTGATCGGTTGTTGCACGTACCAGGTCTGAACCTGCAGGACAACCAAGTCCTTCATATCTTCTCGCGAGCTTTGCCAGAACCCATCCGCGAACATCTTGTGGTTGAGGCCAAATCCGGTAAGTATAATTATAGGCAGATCGTGATCTCGCGCTCCAGAGGGAGCAAATGACCGCACAGGTAAAGGGAACGTATGCATTTGTTGTGAAAAGTGGTCCGGTTGGCGGGTACGTTAACTGAATCCTGTGGCAGAAAAAGCGACAGGACCATATGCTGGTCGTCTTCGATGACAACACCATGGAAAAGTTACCCCTTGATGAGGCCGAGGGTGGAGGTACGAACTGCAGTGAGTCGGGAAAGGGTGACGTCACTGCTGCGGTGGCCAACAAGGGTGGCACCAAACCCTGGAACAAGAAGAGGAGGCCACGCTCCTTTTCCCGAGCATCAGACATTCCAGCCGGAAAGCCTTGGGAGAAGATTGGCTTGTCACAGGAAGAGTGGCAGGAAATAATGGATAATAGGCAGTGCTTAAAGTGCGGCACTGCAGGGCACATTATAGCATGGTGCCCTATCATTCGAAACCCAAAAGGGAGCAGCCAGTAGGAGTAGCATCTGCTCCTATTGAGTTGAGGCGCCAATAACCCCTTTCAACCCCTTGACTCATATATGGCAGAGGATGGCTCTTCTTCGGCCCGTCGTCCAAAATACCCTGATACTGTTTTATGTTCTGTCTCACTGGACAATTCCCTTAACGAACTCGGTACGGAACTCATAGACACCCTGATACTGTTCTATGTTATGTCTCACTGGACTCACTGGACGATTCCCTTGACGAACTCGGTAGGAAACTCATAGCTCTTAGGAGTTCATGGGCTAAGAAAGCTAAGTCTAAGGATGAACTAATGATCGCGATTATTGAGATTGCACATACGTGAGCACGTGCCCTGTTAGACCCAGGATCGATGCGGTCTTACATCTCAAAGAAGGCAATTCGTAAGTTGCATCCGAGAATGAAGGTAAGAAACTTACCTAGACCTATCACGCCTATGTTGGCTGACAAGAGCACGATCACTGTCTCTCAATATGTTGATCGTGTTAAATGTTATTTGAGGACTAAGGAAGGAAATAAAAATTTATATATCCTTCCTAATTGAAAATAACTTATCGTTTGACGTGATTCTGGGAATGGATTGGCATGAGGAAGTCGACCCAGAAGTCAAGTTCAAGGACAAGATCGTAAAGCTTCAGGACAAAAAGTTCGAATCAAGAACGATTAAACTGCATCGCAAGTCTGGGTCTGACTCGTCACTATCCTTTTGTTGTATGAGTTATCCAGCCTTTCGATCTATGGTCTCAAAGAAGAAGCTGGATCAGGATGTATGTGATGATGGTGCTCGTTGAGCGAGTAGGAGAATGTTCCTCATCCTACCCTCCTTCTATTGAAAGATTACTCGACGAGTATAAGGACTTGCAGACTGAGCCAATGTGCTATCAAGCACACGATTGAGATTATTCCCGGTAGTATGATTCCCAAGGGTCCCATCTATCGTATGTCTCCTGAGGAACTCGAGGAATTAAAGAAGCAACTGCAAGAACTAACTGAAAGAGGATGGATTCGCCCCAGCTCATCTCCTTACGGTGCTCCTGTCTTATTCGTGCCCGAAAAGGAAGGTGAATTTAGATTATGCATTGATTATCGTGGGTTGAATGTTGTCACTGTCAAGAACGCGGAACCACTTCCGCGTATTGACGATTTGTTGGACCAATTGCAAGGATGCAGGTATTTTAGTAAGATTGATCTCAAGTCAGGGTACCACCAGATTGCGGTGGCTCCTGAAGATCAACACAAGACAGACTTTCGAACCAGGTATGGTCACTACGAGTTCGTGGTTAGACCTTTCGGGTTGACTAATGCTCTTGCTACCTTTCAAAGGTCTATGAATGATCTATTTCGTCAATGGTTGGATCAGTTCGTAATTGTCTTTCTTGATGATATCCTCGTGTATAGCAAGACATTTGAGGATCACGAGAAACACCTACGAATGGTTCTGCAGAAGTTGCGCAAAGGCAACTTCAAACAGAATCGTAAGAAGTCTGAGTTCACTAAGCGTGAAGTATTGTTGAATCTCTAATATAATTTTGAGATTCAGTAGTATTGCCGAATCTCTAGTACAATTATGAGAATCAATAATCAAATGATCAGTCTACGTAGCAAGGCGAACGTGTTCGCGGCCCTTTTTGTTCGGGCGAACACGTTCTCCCGTTCGCGCGAACAGGTCGAGAACACGTTTGCGAGAACGTATTTTCGAGGCCCGCGAACGG